TTTTTTCCTCGAGACCTCCCTGACCTTGGTCAGCTACAGTCATGATCGAATTCGGGTCCTTCTCCGGCGGGTTGATGATGCTATCCTTCATGTTGGCTTAAATTTAATTCCTGTTTCAACGACAACATCTGTTTTCCTGTACGTACGAAACGCGTACTGTAGCACTGGTACAGTTTTGTTTTGGAGAAGAGTGAGGAAAAATATTTTCTACCTTTTAGTTTTTGATTTTTGATTTTTATGGATCGGCTGATCCAGATACTTTGACATTTGACAAAGCAATGAAGGCTCATGACCGAGCTGAATTCATCAAAGCCATGTACAAAGAACTTGGCGATCACATTGGAAGAAAGAATTGGAAGGTTGTACCCATCAAGAGTATTCCAACATACAGTGGCAAAAGAGCAATTCCCATGGTTTGGGCGATGAAAAGAAAGAAGAACCCCCTTGGGGAGATAATCAAATGGAAAGCTAGCTTGTGCGCTGGCGGCCATCGATCCATTGAGAATGTTGATTACTGGGATACATATGCGCCCGTGGTGTCATGGAGCACTGTACGCCTCATGGTCATCTTTGCCCTAATCAACAACTGGCATATGGAATCAATCGACTTTGTCCTAGCATATCCGCAAGCTCCTATCAAGACCGACATCTTCATGCAACCACCAAGAGTTCCTCCAAAGTTTGTGATTCCTGATATGCCTCGGCCAGGCGACCGGTTCACCAGTGTGTACAAGTTATTGCAGAATTTATATGGACTCAAAGACGCGGGACGAACATGGGGTCAATTTCTCCACAAGGGATTGATCGATCGCGGATGACAACAATCAAGCATTGATTCTTGCTTATACACAAAACAGGACATCATATTGGTACTTTACGTTGATGATGCCTGCCTCATGTCCCCAAACAAAGCTTTGATCAATAAAGAAATCAAATCCTTACAAGAACAATACAACTTGACTGACAATGGGGAACTGCAAGACTATCTTGGTACTTGTTTCACAAAACAACCCGACGGATCGATCCTTCTTGAACAACCTCGCATGATTCAATGAATATTTGAAATGGTCAGGCTCACTGCTGACCAAGTCAAAACTCACGACAGTCCAGCTTCCAGTGCAAACATATTAGACAAGGACCCAGACGGTAAGGCTCATGATTATCCGTGGAACTACAGATCAGTGGTGGGCAGCCTTAGTTATTTACAGGCTATGATTCGCCCGGATCTCACAATGGCAGTGCAACAGTGTGCTCGATTTTGCAATGATCCAAAATAGTCTCATGGTACTGCAGTCAAAAGAATTGGCAGGTACTTGCACTCGACACAATATCAAGGACTTCGATTCAAGCCAGATCCTACGAAAGGGTTGGAGTGTTATGTCGATGCGGATTGGGCCGGCTCTTGGCAAGACCGCACATCAACTGATCCTTTATCTGCAAGATCTCGAACAGGATACATCATTACCTACGCTGGATGTCCAATTATTTGGGCATCAAAGCTTCAAACATTGGTTGCATTATCTACAACTGAAGCTGAATAAATTGCATTATCTACGTCTCTACGTGAAGTCATTGCTGTTATGAATCTGGTAAATGAATTACGTTCCTTGGGTTTCAACTTATCTATGGATACCCCAAAGGTTGTATGCACTGTCTTTGAAGATAATCGCAGCTGCCTTGAGATCACAACAAATCACCGAACAAGACCAAGGACTAAGCATTTGTCCGTCCGCCTACATCATTTTTGTTCTCACATATTGGCAAAAACCATAATCATCAAACATGTCTCTACAAAAGAGCAGATGGCCGATATTTTCAACAAACCACTTCCTAAAGATCAATTCATCAGACTTCGCAATCGATTCATGGGTTGGGACTCTCTTGGCGAGAGGGAGTGAGAGATTTATCACCTTCAAGAGTCATATCATTGAATCGCTCGAATCGATCTTTAATCCGAGTAAGGTGAGCTTTTGAGTCGATTACAGATGTTGATCGTTGGCCGTGGTCGTTTGAATATTTTCAAACAACCAACGACCTTTTGAAAAACAACAACGACAATCTGCTTTTCGCAACGAAAGCTTTACACACAATATATAAACTAAATCCATCGAAACATCAAATAGATCACACTGCCTTGGTGCCTTGCTTCAGCCTTCTTCACATCTGCAATCACCTTGTGAACACTTGAATGCCTCGTCGGATTGACAGCTCCATTCACCCATGCAACAGCTCTGTTTGGCATGAAGTAGCTGACAGCCTTTTTCATCATCTCAAGCGAAGAGGCTCTAGCTCCTTGTGGAACATCACGTTTTCGGTCATATTCCTCCTTTCCGTATGCTTAATTGACCAACCAGCGTTTGATAACAGTTGGATTTATCCCCAATAGTTGTGTCCGTGTGAATACAGTGTCCTTGGTGTAGGGGGATCTGGATCATGGAAAAAATTCATCAAGGAAGTAATGTATGGGCGATACCTTTCATTATCTGTTGGCATATACCAAGTAGCCTCGTCTTCTGGTGGTGCAAAGCGCCTCCTCCCAGCGTCGGGATGGTCATTATTGGCAGCTTCTTCCTCCATCACGACTGCATTGTCCATAGTTCCTTGTCATTCTGCAGTTGCTTAAGCCTGCATTTTGTTGATGTTGGCAAGAATTGGGTTGGCTTCTGTATGCTTTGCGACACTGGGGATTATGAATCTTTGACTCTGCCAAATGACTGCTTGTGATGTTGGTGGTAAAACGTCTGGCATGGACGAAGATTCCATTTCGATTTCCGATTCCAATCCATCATTGATAGAAGGGCTCTTGGTAGACAAAGAATCATTGTGGCCTTCAACAATTGGCACAATACTCTTCTTGTCTCTTGGGTGCAGGAACAGCTTTTGATCCATCATTGCTGTTGGATCGCTTGTTTTTCCTTTTGCTTTTGGAAGGACTCGTCTTCTTCTTCTTCTTCATCTTGTTGTTGTTCTTGTTGGATCTTGGTGACGGTGGAATGCTGGCTGCTGACGGTGGCTGCAACACAATGGAAGAGGACCAAGTGGCAGATGGTTCATTGTTGGAATTATTCGAAACCTTTCTGGAGAAGAAGTCTGTAATCTTCTTCGCTTTTGCCTTGGATTATGGTGGCTCTGATGATGATGATGACGTGTCCATGTTGATGATGCAAAGTCAATGCCAAGGAAGTCGACTCGCTGTGCTTGTACCACACTGGTCTGTTAGAATGAAGCAAAATGTGCTCTATCGTGAGTGCCTTTAGCGCTCAGAACAAACTCTCTGCAATCTAAATTTGTAATCGATTGTACAACACTTTCACGACAATAGTTCTCCTGTGTCTAGGTATACTTTGAGTG